TGACCTCTAATCTCTTTGGTGTGGGGACATTCATATGATCCAGAATTCGCAGACATAGGCGTCGGTCCCATAACACTTTCTGCATGGGTAAATCATTCACGCAAAATGGCTTTCGAAGCTTCGCGTAAGCGATGGCCTTCTCCAGGGGGAAGCCGTCGGAAAAGAATGCAATCAAAAAGTCGCATACAGGCCAATTCTCTACAGCCTCATCGAGAATCACCTTGTCTCCGAAAACAATCACTTCAAAACCACCTTTGGCTTGCAGGCGGGTTAAAATGTTCTGACTAGGTTTGCTGCGCGCTTTCACATCCAAAGCGCAGACGCCAATCCTGCCAATGCTTGAGTGGCCGGTTTCAGCTTCACTGATCGAGCTGGTAGCTGTGCTGCCACTAAGTCTCCTAGGCGTTCGGCTGGAGGAACGAGCTGAACGAGCAACTCGCACCCCGCCAGCATGATCTGTCATTGCGTCTGAGTTCTGGATTTTGTTCTGGTGGAATTGCCCATTACTCGGACTTGCCCTCGAAGATGGCGAAGCCGGTTCATAAAGAAGGGTGACAGATGATTTGTCACCAGTCTGATCAAACACCGTGTTTGATAAGGGCGTGTCAATCAGTGCGTTCCGCTCGTCACTGCCTGTAGCACAACCAACATCAGAAGAGCAATTATCCTGGCTTGCGGAAGGTGGGGAATCTTGAATAGAATTGCTCTGCGTCATTTTTGAAGGTTGCTCGTGGAACTTGAATTCAAAGACTAAGGCTGCGCATGAATGTCCTCATCCCAGATTTCCGTTGCTGTTTTCTAATTTTTGTTCTCCTCTGTGTTGTTTATGTGTAGTGCCTATGAGTTCATCGTCGGTACAATTGGGACTAGAGGGGTCACTGAGATCTGGTTCCAGGTGAAAAGTCAAACTTGGTGAAAACCCCATTTCGGAAGGTGACTCCGTTTTTTCTCACACAAATTTGGATACGCGTTTGGCAGACTTCAATTATTTATGAATATAAGACCACCATTGTCGATCTTCTGCTAGATCGTCAGGATCACTCCTGTCGTCATTACTCGGTGCTGTTCAGGAACATGCTTGACAGTGAGCAAAGACTGAAAATTCCAAATATCTATTCATATACCATTGTACACTTATTCGTATCTATTAACGTATATTAACATGGAATAATATAGAGAGGCGTTCCAAACAAAGAGGACAATCCTACCCACATGAATTTTGGAAACCCAACGTTCATCTTAGGAGCTAAGAGCTTTACGGAGTGCGGAGATTAAGTAGGATTTTGCCAAGGCGGTATTCCAGGCGGACCTGCCCGTAAAGACAGAAATTTTCGGGACACCACAAAAGTTCGCAAATAGAAGAGAGCAATATCGAGAGCTCCTACAATCTGAAACTGGCAATAATACTAAGACCTGACCTGAATTGACATGATGCCTTCACTTGACGAGGATGAATTCAGCGTGCCACTTCCGAAAAGGCAAAAGCGAGTTTCTGAGCATCAGAGCATCACAAATTCGCGACAGACACTTGAGTCCAGAATATTTTCGCCATATCGGGTAAGCCAGGACTGAATCGATCATCGTTCCCTTCCTCTAAATGCTCTCCTGACTGATCAGTCTTTAGACACTTGGACTCGTCTCTCCCACAGCTGTTCCTTTCACAAATGTGCGCTTGGGAAAAAGTACTTTTCAGATCACGACCTGTGTGGGCCGCGCTTTGCACACCTATGATCTACGCCGAGGGCTGAGTTTGATTTTCATCAGCCGGCCTCAGACGCCAGAAGCCATAACTGCCACCTTTGCATGGCGTGAGAAGGTCTTTGCAGCGTGGGGAAATCTCAGACCTGGGACATGTGGAGGTATATGGGTTTTCAAACGCGGCAAAAAGGTCGCTGCATTAGAGGTGCCTTCAGGCCGAGCTGGGCCTATTATCAAAGTACTTGTTTTTGGCGCTTGGATTGTGGGTTGCACTGGCACCAGCATTGAAGTCTGGAAAAATACGACATACGAACATTACACGACGTTGGTTCCTCGCGAAATTGAAGCAGTATCCGGAGACCACATTTACGGCGGTCAAATGTGCAGTATGCCAACATATATCAATAAGGTTTTCGTTGGAAGGTTTGACGGCAGTGTGGACATTTGGAACGTGAGGACCGGAGAGCTACTCCATACCATTCCTACAGCATGGCCAAGTGTTGGAGCTGTGACTGCTCTGCAGCCGACTCCTGTGCTATCTCTCATTGCTATTGCTCATGCGGATGGCTCTCTATTCATCCGTAACGTCGATACCGAGCAGACTATCTTGTCATTGCGCTCGGGTTCCTCGCACATCACATCACTCGCCTTCCGGACCGATAGTCTAGGCGCTGGCGCAGATGGTCAATCTCCGGGTGTCTTGGCGACAGCTTCTGTGGATAGTGGCGACATCACTTTGTGGGATTTGAACAACGCAGGGTGTGTCACGGGGGTCCTTCGGAACGCCCACAGAACACTTCGACATGAAATAGCGTCTGGCATAACCTGCGTGGATTTCTTGGATGGCCAACCTTTGTTGGTATCGACTGGGAAAGATAACTCTCTCAGGACCTGGATATTTGATGAGACGCCATTTTCACCTATTCCGAGACAGCTTCATTTCAGAAGTGGTCATTCTGCTCCTGTTACTGCGTTGAGCTTCTTGCCCTCGGCATCGGATGGCTCAGAAGCCAATGGTAAATGGCTACTGAGTGCGAGCAAGGACTGCAGCTTATGGGGACTTAGTGTACGAAAAGACAGCCAAAATACTGAAATTTCGCAGGGCGCAGTTGAGAAGAAAGCCAAGAAAATGTCCGCTCCAGGTCCTGTGAGCTTAGACTTGCAACGTCACACACAGGGTTTCAGAGCGTCAGAGATAACTTGCATTGCTTGCTCACTAAATCGCGATGGTGGCATGGGTGTCACCACGTCTGGACCGATTTGGGCGAATCCGAGAGTAGCAGACGCGGCTGCTTCGAATAAGACTGGGTGGGAGAGTGTAGTCACTGGTCACCGTGGGGACAAGTTCGCGCGTACTTGGTTTTGGGGTAGGAAAAGAGCTGGACGCTGGACTTTTGAAACAAGCGATGGATCTGTCGTGAAGGTGAATGAGTTGTCGACACTATGTCATGGAGTACGCTAACACTTTATTCCAGAGCGTCGCTATCACGCAATGTGGGACTTTCGCCCTGGTTGGGTCCAGTATGGGAAGTATTGATGTGTTCAATCTGCAGTCCGGCCAGCATCGACAAAGTCTCCCGGCTCGCGATTTGAAAGGTAAGCGAACTGGCGAGCTTGGTCTAGCCAATGGTTCTCAAGAAAAGAAAACCAGACATACAAAGGCGGTCACTGGCTTAGTAGTCGATTCGTTGAACCGGACTGCCATAAGCTGTGGGTTGGATGGGAAAGTCAAGGTACGATATTTGACTCCTTTTCATAAGTCACAGTTACTAAGTTTTTAATTAGTTCTGGGATTTTCACTCTGGGTTACTCCTAGATGAGCTTGATTGGCATCCAATGACAGCAATCACTGGTCTGCGTTATAACAGCAGCAGCGAGCTGGTCGCGTTCAGTTGTGATGACCTCTCGATTCGTGTGGTTGACATCGAAACAAGAAAACTCATACGCGAATTCTGGGGTTGCGTGGGTCAGATCAACGACTTCATTTTCTCCAATGATAGCCGGTGGATAGTGGCTGCTTCTATGGACTCACGTGTCCGCGTTTGGGATTTGTCAACAGGACATCTCATTGATATCTTCCGAGTGCCTAGCACCTGTACCTCGCTAGCCATGTCATCAACTGGGGAGTTTCTAGCCACAGCCCATTCGGATAGTGTCGGCATTCGTCTCTGGACGAATCGGAGTCTGTTTATTCCAATTTCGACCCAGAATCTGGACGAATCTGGTTTCGCTGATACACAAATCCCTCTCACATCCGCAGAGGAAAGCGCTGGAGCTCTTGAGGCTGCATTTTCCGAAGAGCACCATCAGGATGAGGCCGAGGGGCCAGTGCTATGTGACGAACAACTGACTAAGGAGATGGTAACACTCAGTGCCATCCCCAGGAGTAGATGGCAGACTCTACTCCACTTAGATTTGATCAGGGTATCATCCCACACTTCTTCCACCATCTGCTTTATCATTGCTGATTGTCGTTAGGAACGCAACAAGCCAAAAGATCCTCCCAAGGCACCTGAGAAAGCCCCGTTTTTCCTGCCATCTGTTTCCGAGAAAACGAGCGTTGGTAGCAGCGACAGAAGTACGGCGTTATCGGTTGAACACACGCTCGCTGAACGCTCAAGGATAGCCAGACATCAACGATCTCAGACTGTGGACGACTCGGGCTCTTTATTCACAGTCCTTCTGCATTCCGGGCGTCAGTCTAACGATTTTGCACCCTTCACAGATCATTTGAAAACTCTATCTCCAGCAAAGACTGATTTGGAGATTCGATCTCTGGATCTGCGTGTACAAGACGGTCATTCTGAGTTGTCCTTATTCGTCATGGCACTGATTACGCGACTCCGTCTCAGGAAAGATTTCGAACTTGTGAATGCTTGGATGGCGGTATTTCTGAAAATACATGCTGATATTGTGCGGAAGTGCTCCGAGTCGGCGGCGAATGACCACGGAGAACTGAGAAAATCTCTCGTTCAGTGGAGTGAAGAACAGCAGCGGGAAGCCAAACGCTTAGCTGACCTAGTTGGATACTGTCGAGGTGTGGTGGGATTTATAAGATCATCACGTTAGGATATGTTGAGCTTGAGGAAAACAAATCAACACTGTTCCGTGTAACGTCATACTTCCTCGTACTCTGGCTATACTAGTCAGTGGGCTTATTACTTGAGCTCTGGTTTGGTAGCGATCGAGGATTTCAGAAGTATCCGCGAGCTCACGGGACAAGGAAACCAATAGTGTTCGTATCACAACGTTTCCCATCTACTGACATGCATATATATCTAGTGAATTGTAAGCAATATATGTCATCTCGCTAGCTGTTTGTATCTCTTCAGAAATTCACCAGCAGCATCTTCAGTAAGGTACTCGTTCACCATCTCGAATCTCGATCTCATCAGCACGTGAAGTGGGGGGAGGCTCATAAGAGCGTCCTGTATTTTGAGCATGAGATCGTTGGCCGAAGTCGTGAACCCAATCAGTTGTCTCATAATTCTCAGAGAATAAAGCACAGCTTGGACCTGCGCCGTAAGGTGTATGTCTGCCCAGTCTGTCTGATCACCCATATAGCCAAAATTAAGGAATCTGCTAAATGGCTTAGCGTCGGGAAGCGGAGAGCCACTGTCCCCCAAACCATATATCTCACACAGTGCAAATATTCTCCATAAGTTTGTGGTCATGGCATTTTCGCCCAGGGCATCTCGAACTACACTGAGACGTGCATAGAAAGCCGTCATTTGATCTGCGATCCAGCCTGCATCACGAATTGCTAGAGTATCCCTTGCAATTCTTCCCCCTCGTCGTACAAACTCATCGATGAAGCAAGATCTCCGAGACGGTGGACGCGAGGCATTAAAGATCGAATAGCCTAGAACTCTATATGAGAAGCCATTCTCCCACGCGCACCGCCTGGTATGATCTTCGTTTAGAATTGCAAGATAAAACCGAGGGAATTCGTCCCATGAATTGTTTTCTTGGGTTTCATATTGCCAGACCAACTCTGAGACTCTGGGGTCAAGGTGATGAGAATTCGCAAACCCCCATTCTGCATGTTCTGGGCCCTTCTTATATTCCTCTGAGAATTCCAAATAGCCTGCAGACCCTTGGGGTCCGAGGGTCTTTTTTGCAAGCCGTATCAGCTCCGTTAATCCTGAATTTGGGTGAAGTCTAAGTTCATATGCTAGGCGCAGTAAATCAGCCAACCCAAAGCGTTGAGCGAGTGATGCTGGATGTAGCTGCACCGCTTGAAGTGGCACGTCTATTAATCGGCCGCTGTACGTATTTTCCAATTCTAACGAATGAAGAAGCACGACCGTACCATGCGGCCCGATATCATGAAGTATAAGATCCGAATCATTAGTAAGTATCGCAGATCCTGTGAGTTTCGCCAGGTATGCGCAATGCATATCTGCTTCCCCTGCGACCATGATTGTGACATCTGCCCAAGGAAAATCTTGTAATGCAGCTGAGTCGACTAACAATATGGAGCCCCGCACAGCTTGAAGGATGTTTTCCTTATTCCATCGATGCTTGAGATCTTCGAAGACAGCCGGTACCATAAAGGGATTGTCAGGGCATTCTCTGTGTTTAGGAGTCAACGCCCGTCCTCGCAGTATCGTTTCGAGCTTGGATTCTGTGTCGATAGGCGTGTAGTTGGGAGAACCATAACTGATTTTTTTACGAGCTATCTCAAGCTTTCGTCTTGCCCTTTCGAGTCGAGATCGTCTTGTCTCTCTTTTTCGGGCCGGCAAAGCTCCATCAAAGCATATTGCCTTTCTAGACCATATCAGTCATTATTTGTATGATCTCCTGCTTGGACGTCATTTACATGTCAACTCCCAGGTTTCTTAACTTCAAGAGATGCAACATCACCCCGCAACTAACTTCGTTGCATGATGGCTGCATATCAGGGAATTCGAGTCGGCTGTCGGACCATCCCAGCAACCTTGAATGGACATGATAAACCAGACTGGGGCCATCAATCACAACAGATTGAATGTGTATTCTCCCCTCCTCGGCACTTTGACCACCCTTAAGAAGCACTGCTTCCGAATATGGAAGTAAAAGTCGTGTTAGATGCGGTATACCCATAGCTGAAATGTTTCTGACTCCAGACTATTGGGGATACCGAAATTTTCAGTTAGGGCCTAGGTAGAAGTCACTGTTACTGTTGACCATCAAAAATTTGGTGGTGCGTAAGTGTCATGTGATAATTATCCGCCGGCCCTGATATAGCCAAAAACTGAGCTTGCTTTTTAAGTACCCAGTGCATTTGTCACTACAAGTCAACCACCTAACACCCACCCACATGCTAATAATGGTTGGCGCCCTCTAGATCCTGAATCACACCATGTGAAGAGGGAGAGCGCGAGCGTAGAGAGGTAGAGGAACAACACCTAATGATCATGATGCACTGCCCCACACGCACAGCATATAATAAATCATCACGCAACCTTAGAAATAAATGCAAACATGTCAAATGCCATCTCTACACAAGGGCCAGAACATCACAGGGGAAGTAACGGAAAAAAAATAAAAACAGAATTTCGACATCGTACGAGCCTACTTTCTCTCCACTTAGACAAAGGAAGGAGAAGTCTGTAATAGCACACGCCGCCAGCTATCCAAGATGCTGGTGTGCTAAGCTAGACGGCCATCCAAAAGAAGATATGTGATCTCTTGTTATCCAGAGAATAACAATATCGAATTCGAACCAATGATGTTCGATATATTAGGATTCTACTAGCCGTAGCTTACCTTCATGGACCTCAAGACGTGTAGTCAAAGCAGTGCTGGAATTAGTATTCCTCTCCGAAGGCGTCGTTCAGTCATCAGGATACTCATCTCGAATATTGCTGACAAATGTACGAGAACAGCCATCCCACCTCTTGAAGTGCTTTCCTGCTGTTTCCACAAGCGTTCGCGGTAGCTCAAATAGATCGGGAGTGATGATTTCGACGTTCTCTTCCGCAACGTAGCGAACAGACTTGTCCTCAGCTCTAAACATAATTAGCAAAGGCAGTGAAATAAAGCGCAGTTACCATACAATGCGTGGTAGAAACTTTGGTGCCTGCCGGCTTCCAAACGATCGATGCCCATCCTTCTCATCCACTGTTCGCTCGCATCGCACTCAGTATCCCAACCAGTTATAACAGCTAAGTAGCTGTACCGTCGATGGCGGAAGACCTGGCCGATCCTATACCTTACCGCTTTGCGCTCAGGTGTCCGCCGTTTGACCTGTTTGGGTATCTCATCCACAGCTCGCACGACACGAAGGCTCTCAAGTATGTCCTCTTGCTGGGGCGTGCCTTGAAAAAGCGGTACAAGATACTGCTCAATCAAATGAACATCCGAAGGAAAGTCCGTAGCGAAGAGTTCCAAGAACCAAGGTAAGTAGTGCATAAGGTCCGCCGGCCGGAAAGAGGTGGAAAATAACAGTGACGACCAAAGGGCAGCATATCTTGCACTAACCGCGTCGACCGGAGCCAAATGTGCTCTAGATGTCTGGGAAAGACGTTGAACGGAGTTCATGATGTTTTTGCCACATCGCAACACAGTATCAGCAACCCCAGACGAACGAAGGAAAGCTGATTGCTCGGCTGCTGAAGCCCCCAGGAAATTCAACTGATTTTGCAGGTTCTCAACCGGTGTCTCTTCTGCTGAGCGAAATGGATCCATAAAAATCGGCTCAATCCGCGTCGCGGATGGGATCGAGTTGCCATCAATGTCCTGACCGCTGGGTGGCATGACTATAACATGAACGTGGAAAGGAAAACCACAAGGCCAAGCGTCCAGGTTTATTTTTCGGGCAACGTAGCAGTATATAGCTGCTGAAATCAGTGGAAGCGAATTATGATCGGGATCATTCATTGCGAATCCTAGGAAATTGTGCTCCAGGCAATGGTAATCCCGGCCTAACTGAATGCCTGTCAAATTGCTTTCTCTGAGGTATGTTGCGACAGTCCGGGCCTTCTCGCGAAGTGTGAGATTATTTATATTAGGGCAGTATGTGAATATGTGCGAGGCGATTTCATCTAGCCTACTCACAATCTGGCTACTGATTAGTAGATGTTTTGCCTCATTATCCTTTCCAAGGCTGAGTGTTTTACATACTTCATCCAAATTCCCGAAACTGCTCTCTGGGATGAAAAGATCAAACGCACCCAAAGCCCTTTCCAGGGACACAGGTTCCCCATTTCTGAGTTTGATCCATTCTGGGACCGCAATGCTCCGATGGAGACAAGTCAGCAGCGCTCTTGCGTAATACCTTTTGTTGAAATAGCGAATGTTAATCACATGGAAAATGACCAGATATTATCAATGGGAGCGCCACCTTCTGGCCAAGTAGTCCTCTGTGTCTGATCCTGCGGAAATATGGCGTAGTAGAGTATCCTTGATGTCATATCCAAGTCCAATGATGGTTCGAAATTTTTTGATTCTTCCAGTTTGCCCGGCAAGAATACTGTTAAGAAGATTGCAGGTCCTGCGGTCAACAAGATGTCGAGAAACGTAGAGTCGTTTCCAGTCTACTACAGAGGCAGAACTCCTGTAGTTTCTTGTCATATCATGTTTGGGATCCCAGAATTTGAAGTGGGTTTGACAATAGAATCTCCATAGTAAAGGTTCATTCGCGATATTTTGAAACTTGCGAGAAGTCTGTCCCAGTGCAGCCGAAGAACAAGGGGGGCAGTTACACAGGATGATGTATAGTAGCTCCTCAGGAAGACAATCAAGAGACAAAACCATACCGGTACATAAGGAGAAGAAAAAGGAGGAATAATGAAACGTCACCTTATCCGTCGGGATAAAACCTAAGTGATATATAGAGCATTGAAAGATAGATGAGTTGCTAGATATGCCACATATTTCTGTTTATCCGCTCTGGAGGTATGCCATAAATTCTGAAGTGATAATTTAAAATCTATGTAATACGTGAAATACTTCCCTACAGAAAAGGACCCACTGGGGGGTTTTGTAATAATATATAGTATAAGCTAGCTGTATCCTGTAGAGAAGAGAATAAAATGGGAATCTCCCAGGTCCCAAACTTACATATAAAGTATGTAGTACAGTAAAGAATTAAGTTAACATTACTATATATCTTTAATGACTCCAAGTAGTATGTAGTGGGTTATTATAGTACTGTAAACCCTGGATATAAGCAACTAATTCAGCAGGCTGTCTTGATTACTTATATCAAGGAATTGCTTATAGTTAGATATAGTTAAAATATATATTTTTACTAAAAAAATATTTAGATATTAGTCTACTGCTACTTCTGCACCTTTCTCTATAAAAGAACCCTCTTATACCTTATAAGATACTAATTAGTATCTACCTGTAAGATCGGTCCCTAAGGCCCAATATCAACTGGTCAGATCAGCATGAAGGGAGTAAATAATCATATATTACCTAAGGAAGGAGAACTAATTACTAAGTTATAGAATACTTAGTAACCTATAAAGATAAATATAGTATAGATTATATAATCTAGTATATATAGTAGTATTATAGTTTACTATAGCTCTTAATAATTACCTCTTTTCTCTATAGGCTTTATCCTTAAAGCTATAATACTTCCTAATTTAGTAATATAAATAGCTTTATTTATTTTAGATTATTATTATCTTCTATAATTAATTATAATATAGGAGGAGTTGGCCTCTTATTATTTAAATAATATATTCTATTACTATTATAGATTATAGTATTTATTTAGCTTTATTATAGATAAAGAATTAATAGTAAATATTATAGCTTTATTATTATATTTATTACTCCCTAGCTTATATCTATAGTTATAATAGTTAGTTCTAGATGGTAAATTCTATATTAAGTAATT